AAACCTTACCCACAAAGTGTGGGTCTTCAGAGGCTCGTCGCAATACTTCTTTCACATTGGCCGTGAGCCATGAAGGACTCATGGCCAGGCCAAACGGAAGAACGTTGAAGACGTAACTGGTACCATCCCAATAAATACCTAGGTAAGGCTGATCTTCCTTCCGCATTTGAATACGGAGGAAAGCCTTGCTTAGGTCCATAGTTACCCACTTATCACTTTGTCTCCACTGAGTGACAATATCTACTATACGTAACATGTCACACTCAGTTTCACGGAGATAAGGATCTAGAGATTGTCCGTTTATCACGGGTCGCACAGGAGTAGTAGGATGACCCACCCTTATCACAGGGTGATGAAACAAAAAATGCTTCACCTCCTCACTGTCGACAGGACGGATAAACCCATTATCAAGCCATTGCTTGAACTGGTCACTATAAGCATCCACCAGTTCTTGGCCACCTCTTCTCTTTAGCGAATACTCCAACCTCTTAGCTCTCTTGACCGCAGCCTTGAAAGCCTTGTGGGGCCTTTGGGACGATCTCCATTCCAATGATGCCATCCTACCCTCATAGGTTTTGGACTCATAGACCTTAGTGGCATTAATCTCATCGGCGACATCAGCCATTTGTGACTTTACATGGTCACAATGAATAACCACTCGATGAGGATCTTCCACCATAACCTTATTGACTTGAGACGGGTCAGTCAACAAGCAATCCTTTTCATGATGGCAGTTAATCATCTTCCCGATAACGAAGCCGAAGTCTTCAAACTGATCTCTACCAATGAGAACCTTGTCCTTCTTGATAGTCTTTAGTATGATAAACCTTGCTTCTCTACCAGATTGAACATATTGGCCAACACCATCAACCGGCTTGGTCAATTGCTGAACCATACAATGCCATGCGTGCGTTATCACTTGCCTACTGCCATCAGCCATAGTACAAGTTAAGGGTTGAGGCAGTTTAGCAACACGTCCAGCCTTCTTCCTTACCATCTCCTCGACCGTGTGGTTGTCGATGATGCTCAAATTAGCACCCGTATCCAATAACCCACACATATCGACAGTTTCATAAGGATTCCCGCAGAAGACCTTGAATTTGGCATATATCATACCCTTTTTCAGATCCAACCACGAGACGGCCTTAGTCTGGCATTCGTAGATCTCACCAATCTCAGCTTTCTCCATCTGTGTGTCACCAATCTC